TATGTAAATCAATATGGCGCCTTTATGCTAGATGTTCATTGGTCGAGACGGTCTTATGCTATGCATATGCAGTTATGTCATTTTGTGTGTGATGGCCTTTACGGTTATGCAAATTTATGTGGACATAACTTAAAACATTTTCATACGAGGTATGCGTATGCAAGCGCGCGTAATCTAGAACCAATGAGCGATTGCCAGATATACTTCTCAATACAATTCCGTCTATCATAAAGGTACCTTTTCACGCTGACGCTCGACGCTCAATTTTAGAATTAGAAGATATCACGTGACTAAAAATAACCAACCGTTGCAGTAGTTTTTGATCACATGATGTTTTCTAACACTGAAATTGAGCGTCGAGCGTTAGTGTGAAAAGACATCTTAAGGATATACACAGTTGCATTTGAGCAATGACGTTCGATGTCGATATTGTGATTTGATTTACGAGAATTTCGCAGAAAAATCAACACTTTACTGAAAATTATATTTTGTGACAATCCTTGCAAATTAAAGAGCTGCATCACTCGATCAAGCGAAGGGAAAACGATCGACAAGTCGTTGATTTTCTACCTCGATCAAACGAGACGACGATAGGCACTGTTGATATTGCTGTTGCGCACTACGCTAACAGCTGACCTCGAGCTGGCTGTGTGACATACTGCGAGGATGGCAGACGCCGCTGTTAATCTCATAATAAAAGCGCCGAATCAGCAGATCAAAGATCAGGTAGTCAGATGCGATCTCAACTGGACCATCGGTCACTTGAAGGAGTACCTGTCTGAGGTTTATCCTAGCAAGCCAGTAAGTCGTGAAAGCAATCGTCCTCACTCAGTGAAAGCGGCGTGCATTTCTCTCTTTCTCTTTTTTCTTTTTTATAAAAAAATTGCTGATACAGCTTAGGATGCTCATTATTACATAAGGCTATATACATATTAATATTGATATACCTATAACATTGTTTTATATTAATACTAATAAATGCATTTCAATTACAATTTCTTATATTTTATATTTTATTATTGTATATTTTTTATATCTTATATTTTTCAAATATTACAAAAAGTACCCTTTATTTTTTAAAAATACTAGTATAATAATATATTATTTTTAATAATTATTTAATAATAGTAATATATATACTACAATTTGTATATACATAGATAATATGCATTTGTCACAATGTTTACTGTTGTCTTGTGTATTATTATAGTCAAAGCTATACAAATGTGACACATAAAGAAAAGTTGTACAATGATACCTAAAAGTATTCATGAAATATTTAAAGACTTTTAGTAATTTTTTATTCTCTAGCATCTGAGGTGGTTACTTTGTTATTTTATTTTGGCCTTGACTATATCACAAAGAAATTCTAAGATAAGCAATCAACTTAAACTATTACTGTTACTTGCAGGAAAGTTCACATCAGAAATTAATTTATTCTGGTCAGTTATTGAACGATTCAGCCAGATTGAAGGACATTTTGAGACAATGTGATGATTTAGAAGATCAATTTTATACTATACATCTGGTTTATACTCCGCAAAAAACATGTGCTGTTAAAATTACACCAGATCAAAATTGTACAATCAACAGAGATGCAGATACAATATCTGCAATAAGAAATTCTCACACTAGAAGCAATAGTGTCCAGAATCAAAGTCAAGAAAATATTAATGTTACTGCGTCTCAGTCTCAACAGATGTATTTACCTGAGCAATACTTTGATCCTCGAAATAGTCAACAGTTAGCCTGGATCCAACAAGCATACACGCATTATTTCACACAGTATATGCAACTGTAAGTGTTTTTTTCTCATTAAAATCTTTTGTAAAAAAATATAAAATGTAAGATATTAGAAAAGTATAAACAGGTTTTTTATGTACTCATCTTTTGTTAAAATAGTCTAATTGAAAAGACAGCCAGTTATTTCCAAATTATTTGTGAAAAAGCTGATTAATTGTGTAAAAGATACTCCACATATAATGTTTCTATGTTACATTACTATATACATATTTTAAACACAAAGTGTTCTGTAATTTGCGAATCAGAATATTATTTACAGCATAAATTTATGTTGGACATGCTGTATATACAGTTTTAGTATAGAAGTTAAACATACTTTTTTTATGGCATACTTTTATTTTGTGGCAAAATATCTAAAATTTTAAAAGCTCAAATTTGAAATGATTTTTTTTTGCATATAAGATATGATATTTTTATTATTACAATGAGTAGAATATACTTTTGCAATGTATTTTTTTATTTTAGAAATACGTTACACAATTTAATAACTGAAAATTATTTTACAATGCAATAATAACGTAATTAGTTTAAATTGGATAAATTTGTCTCTTTAAATATTTTAATGTTAAATTTGTTTTAATTTTATTTTTATAAAATTTGAATTTAAATCTTAGTTAAAAATATATGATATTAAATATTGAAAAATGCGAAAAATGGCGACCATTCTCATCGAGAAAATATCAATTTCTGATTTGAAAATCTGTTAATTTGTTAATCTGTTACTGGATAATTTCTTGACCAAAAACTTATGTGCGTAATTAAAAGCGATTAAAGATGAATTGACTTGCTCGCAGAAAGTACAAAAATGACTTTATTTATAAATGCAAATAATGCAGTAATTTACAAATGTAATTTTAAAATCCTTTGCGACAAAAATAACTCGTTTTTTTATTATAGAGCATTTGCAAAAAATAATTTGACAATCTTTAACAATTTTAATTAACAGATTAAAAAAAACATCGTCGATGTTACCGCATTTCCCGATAAGAGATGTACAAATGTTACAATATATTATTTTTTTGCAGCATGGCAGCGCAAGGCATACAGTTGCAAGCTAGTATTCCGTACTTGCAGCAGATGAATATTGATACAAGCGACGTAGCGCAAAATACGCACGTAAGCAACAATAATAATATTGTTGGCGACGAACAAGCCCAACCGCCGGCACAAGATGCAGCAGATGTGAACGCAGGAAATAATGGTGCAGGCGAAGATGTCGCGTTTAATCGCGATTGGTTGGACTTTTTCTACATGTTATCTAGGATTATTGTTCTATTTGGCATAGTATATTTCTACTCATCTCCACTTAGGTTCCTCATCGTTACATTCTTGGGATTTGCGATATATCTGTGAGTCAAAAAGCTTTTAATATTGTTTAAATTTAATATTTTTCTTTGAACTTTTTGAAAAGTTGTAAAATATAATATATAATATTTGGCAGATATCAGGGCGGTTTCTTCAGGGTACAACCAATTTTACTGGCTGAGAACAATAATGGTCGTGTGGACAACAATAATCAGGTATTGCAAAACGAAGCGGTGGGCCCACAGATAGTGCCGCAACAACAAAATGCTCAAGTGCCAACTGTGCAACCAGAAGCACGGACGAATCCGAATGAGGAGAATGAGGAACAACGGCCAGGCGCTCTCGCTTTCACTTGGACCTTTTTCAGTTCGTTTTTTGCCTCGCTTATTCCAGATCAACCCAATGTCATTTAATCCCATCTAAATGTTCCATAAAATCAATTTTTTTTTTGTTCTTGCGGAAATTATTGATGGAAATTATAGAAACGTGACATAAAGATTGGAGACGATGGCGCATGGTATATCAAGTTTTGGAAATAAACAGTCCTTAGAATAAGAAGTGCTTAAACTGGTGATGAGAATTTAATATACATATTCTTATAAAAGTCTGATCAGTTTTATGATATCCGAGGACTTTTGTATTTATACTTCTCACACTCACACACACACACGCACACACACACACGCGCGCGCGCGCGCACACACACACACACACACACACACGAAATATAAATGTTTATACATATGTTAACAATCAATATACGCTTAAAATAGGTGGCAATTTGTAAAATTAATTTTAAATGCATGTGTAAAGATTACACATCAAACACAAACGCAGGATGTTTGTTAATGCTTGTGCCAACGTTATGCAGGTAATGCGCGGTAAACTGAACAGAAAAGTCTTATCGTTTTGCAATTTACGCAATAATAATTAAGATATTAATTAAAAAGAATAGACGCACGAAACACGCAATTATTCGTTAATTCTTTTTAATTAATATCTCTGTTATTGCGAAAATTGCAAAACAGTAAAGGACTTTTTTGTTGAATTTACCGCGTTCTACCCACACGCAAGCGTTTACATGAACATTAACAAACACGCGCGCGCATGTGTGTGTATGTGTGTGTCGATTTAATTCAATTAAGGACACAGATGAAGTAATAGTCAGGTTATATCTTTAGATTAATGCTAACTTTTCTTCGCAAGAAGATTGTTAGAATCGCAATCCCAAAGTTATTAGAGTTAAATGTATAAAATAAATTTTCTTATGTTTGTAGTAATATAAAGATACAACGAGATAAATGTATACCATGTACATACTTATATAAATGTAAGGAACGTATGATTCTTGTGTAGAGCTTGTATTATACAAAATATAAAGCGATATGTAAAAAGATAATGATAATAGCCGCTTAATAATTTTCTTTAAAAATTGTTATATAGCAATAATGCTATATTACATGATGATAATTTCTGTGATGGTTTAATATGGTTAAATGTGATGGTTTAACATGGTTAAATCTATCTAGCGGATATTTTACAAGATTTTTTAAAAAGTATCACGCTGCATTTGCATATACAGGATATTTCTAAAAGTAAAGTCAATAAACTAGGAAGTGAAAGAGAAGTTTGAGTAGAATAAATAATGTATATAAATTTTTCTTGTATTCGTGCGCGCGCGATAGTTTAGTACAGAGCTTGACACGATCTGCACATTTCGGTCGATTTTCGTGAGTCAATTCATACCGCCTTACTCTTACATCTTGAGATCTTAACGAGTCGCCTGGCAGCTGTGATCAAGGCGCGTGACGCTCTATCTCAAATAGACGCAGATGTAAACGCGATATGGTCTCAAATTGTTAAATATCAATGTTTTAAACACAATCTTTAAAATCTTTCTTTCTAAATAATTAATTCAATAACAAAGTTTCAATTCTCGATTATTAATTACATTTACGATATAATAATCCCAAAATATTATTAAATTATATTCGATAGATTAGATTTGTGCCTGAGACAGCGTCGTGCATCGTGATTACGGCTGTCAGGCAACTTATTGCTAAGATCTCAAGACAAAAGGGGGAGGCGGTAGGTGTGGACTTATGAAATTGCCGAAATATGCAAATTGTGCGTTTACTGAAGCAGGTGTTCAAAATACTAATGCTAATTCTCTAAAAGATGCAAGCAAGCCATTATTTTGACTTCAAACCAATTTTCCTGTTAGTTTTCTTGCCAAGGAATTATTCAAAATAAGTTATTGTATCGTTATTATGTGGCAAATGTATTCCTTTTAATTGTGTCATTCAAGTATCATCAGGCATCTAACTAAATTTATATTTAAAAAAAGTATGAGTACCATGAGTGGATATTATTTAAGATAATGGCTTCTTTGCATTCATTAGCCTCTGTACCACTTATCAATAGATTGTAAGACTTCGTTATTCAGAACATTTTCACAATGCATTTATTAAGTTTGAGATAGGAGTTGCAATTTTCGGCTCGATTTTCGTGACGCTCACTGCCTCCTCCTTGCCGCTTGCATGTTAGCAATGAGTCACCGGATGCTCGTAAGTAAGGCGCGTGATACTCAATCTCAAGAACGTTCGTATTACAAATGTAATGAGATCATACTCCTCTAGGTATTCTTTGCATTTCTTCCTCATTAAAACTTAAAAAGAAATATTTTCACATATTTTATTAATAATTAAAATTATATTGTCCGTGTTATCAATTAATTAACATATACATATATTCTGTAACAATTAAAAAGTTTTTGTAACACTTTATCTAAAACTTTTGATCCGTCATTGCAGTCATATCGAATTGTGATATTAATTTATGATTTACTTTCGCAATATATGTTAAAATAATATAGTCGATTGGCAGTATTACACAGTGAAGTAATCCGCGCGTGTTACATAATTATAATTAAAAATATAGTTATAATCATAAATATGAGGCTAAGTGACTCGTTAATATGCGAGTGGCAAGGAGGGGGCAGTGGGCGTCAGTCACGAAAATCAAGCCGAAAGTTGCAACTAATTCCTATCTCTGTATTAAATAATATGTAGGCGGAAGAGAGGCTTTGCCTCTTCCTCTGCACTCTGTCCCCGAAAAAATCCTAACTCTATCTTTTTTGCGCAAGAAAGAACAGTATTTTGAACATCTGCTCCAGTAAACGCAAAAAATTATCAACACTGTATTTACTAAACCATAGTGAATACAAGAAAAAAAGGTTTATATATTCTATTCAATACATATTCTATTATTTATTCTATTCAGGCTCCTTTTTTTACCTCCTAGTTGGTTGATCTTATCTTTAGATACACCTTGTATAATTATTAATGATATATAAGATGATATATTATTAGAGAAATAGAAATTTCTATAATTTTCCCAAATAGTAAAGAGCATCAATGAAATAAAGGTGTATGTAAAGTAAATAAAATCATTTTTGAAATTTGCTGTTAGTCATATTATTTATTTCAACTAATTTTTTTTATATTTGGGGTTCCGAAAAAAAGTGCATTTTGCAGTTCTTGAAAGGGCCAAAAAGAACCTTCAAAAATATCTTGTGTATCACCTTTCTATGGGTTCAGAGACTCAAAAATTAAAAAGAAGTCTTTTGAGGCTTATATCTCGAAAATGATTACATAATAGGATTCATATTATAGGACCTCATATTATAGGATCATTATTGTAGGGCTATCAATTTTCAACAAGAAAGATTTCATGATCTATTTTATCTCTTACTCCCGCGGAGATCACGTGTGTCTAGGATGTTAATTTCCTGTATCCAGAGATCGGCAAAAAATTAATAATAAATTAATATTATTTAATTATTATATTAATTATTTATCGCAGAAAAATATTTTCCGATTACTTAGATAATCAATAATCAAACTCGAAAATTATTTGATTACTCGATTAATCAATAATCAAAGCAAAAAATTATTTAATTACTTTATCAATCACACAGTTGGAAAATTTGTGTTAAATTTAACATATATCGCATGTACCAAACGGTCCACACAAATTTTTGTGTTAATTTAACATAATACAGATATGTTAAACGGTGACACTACTATTATGTTAATATTTCAACACAAAATGAATGCAAACTTCATAGTAATTTAAAATAAATTTTATGTAAAATCAACATATTTGAAATGATAAAATTAACTGAGGAAAAATGTTATTTTTACATTTTATAAATGTAATAATTCAAACTTTTGATTAAAGTAATATGTAAAATTTACATACTTTTTGTGTTAAAATTTTATGATTTAACAAGAAAATAATGTTAATATAACATGTTATTTATGTTAAATAGTAACATAAAAAAATGTTATTTTAACATTTTAAAAATGTTTATTTTAACATTTTAAAAATGTTAAAAAATTTTGTTACAATTACATATAGGTTGTTCCAGGATCACATAAAAATTTTAATGACAGTTTCTGTGGAATATTTTAAAAGAAACATTATAATATAAAAATGTCGAGACTATATAGCACAGAAGTTTAACAATAGTCTCAAAATTTTTATATTAAAATTTTCTTTTTAAAATATTACGAAAAATCTGTCATTAAATTTTTTATCAGTGGTCCTAGAACAACCTATATGTAAGTGTAACAAAATTTTTATTTTATATAATTATGATCAGGTTTGTATAAATTACACACATATATATTAATCAATAAACTTATTTATTACTTCATAATATATTACACAATCTTACTTCATAATATTCATATATTATATAATATTATTTAATATTTCTTTAGTTCGAAAATAACATTTTGTTCATAAATTTTTATATATGACACCGTCAACATATTTATCACAAAATTATTTACAAAAAGTAGTCAGTTATAATAACTAAATCTTTTTCTACAGATTCATAAATTTCCCAATTTTTAGTATATGGTAAGTCTATTATTTTTAGTATAAATAAAACAGATGTATTTTTTACAATGTATCCTAAACATGAGGATGATATTTTTAAAGTATGCCAGCTTTCACATACAGCATATATTTCAGCATTCACAGAAAAAATGAATAAAATTTTACTGAAATTGGGCAAATCGTTAGAAAAAGATGAACATATAAATTTATTTAATTTTAAATTAGTACCTCGAAACTGTACACTTTTTCCTACATAAATATCTATTTCAGTAGAAATATGTAAACCATTCATAATAATAACATTGTAATTAGTAGAACTTAAATTTTGCCTTTTAAAATTTTTTAGTATTGGTTCAAAAGATGAAGAATCTTTATTTTTCCAAAGAGACAGCATGCATTTTTGATGACGCACGGACAATGTATACGCTATATCTTTAAAATTTTTCAATTTATTAGCTAAGTCTTTCAAATAACCATGCTTACTTTCATATCTCATTGTCCAAAAAGTTTTTGGAGGTCCCATTTTCTTAATAATCATTACATAATGAATAATTATATGATCTTTAGGTATTAAAGAAACAGAAAATTCTTTCATTAAAAGTTCATAATGCTTTTTTATAGTTATTTGTAATTCATCTAACATATTATCTGTAATATTAGGCGCTAATACAATTTTTAACATTTTTATTACTAATAAAATTACTTTCCATTTATTAAAATTTTGATCAAGTTTTGGAATTATATTTCGTAAAATTATAGGTAAATGAATAATTAAACAAAGTGTTTGTGCTGCACGTTATCCTATTGTATTAGATTTTTTTAAACTTATAACACTAGGTAAATTACCTCTATTATATAAACCATAGTCAAAGGCTTGTATTTTGTCATTTAAATCATGTAAACTAATAATTTTATATTTATCGCAGAAATTGAAAAATAAGTTTAAATCTCTTTGGCAAATGCCTTCTAGAAAATCATGCATTATATCAACGGTTATATTTTCGCAAGGTTTAAAATAAGCTAAATCAAATAAAGGACTTTTATTTTTAATCCCAAAAAATTTATTGTATCACTATTTGCATAATGAAGTTGATTGAAAAGGTTAATAAAACTTTCAGACGTACTAAATTATAATCAGCAGTACAAGTTTTTTGAGCATCTTCTTTATGAATTGTGCAAATCCTACAATAGTAGTTAGCATTAAATGACTCATTCATGCCAAGTAACATATTTCCACCTAAATTATCAAAAGCTAACGATACTAATGTGCCTTTCATAGAAGTATTTAAAGATTCGATAAATACTCCTTCTTTTTCTAAAATTTTAATATTATTTACGATTTTATGTAATATAGGATTTAATCCAAATTGTTTAATATCAAGATTATAGCATAAAGCTAATAAATGAATATTTTTCAAAGTCGAATTAATATAAAAAGGAAGATTATTAATAGCAAAATAAAATGCTCCAATTTTATGAACACTTGTTTTA